CACACACACACACACACACACACACACACACACACACACACACACACCATGTCTGTTCCCTGAATCGATCTTCAGATGTTGCAGAACTGAAAGTGAGCTGAGGTTGCTGAGAGTTCCTTTGGAGCCTCTGTAGCGCTTCTTTCCCTGCACTTGACCTATTCTGCTCTCTCTGTGTCTCCCTTCCTGCAGAGAAAACTGCCAGCTGACTCCAAGGTTCTGGGGGACTCGGATCTGGTGTACACAGTCAGTGCCCAGGAGTACTGGCAGCGGGCCCTCCTTACTGAGGAAGAAAGTGGTAATTTCTATTTTTTGCCTCAACCGCTAACATTTGAAAGGATAAGCTTGGCACCCTAGCGCCCTGCTTTAGATTTTTCTTTGCCATAGGGATGTTTTATTCCCACTTTCCACGGTTTCTGTACCTATTAGTGTGTGTTAAGTGCTGTGTGTGTGTGTATTTATGTGTTCATGTATATAATCAATTTTTCCTCTCCTCGCATTGTTGTGTGCCTGAGACCAAAATTCTTCTCTCATCCAAATTTTACCAGCATTAGTAAGAGTTAAGGCATTGGGTTTCCATTTCCTTGGTATATGGCCTGTGACTCTTCAGTTACCCAGGTATAGGCATTAGACATAGTTAACGAATGTTTAGTACATGTTTGTCTGTGAGGCAGGGAAATTAGAAGGCATGGCTCTTTTCTTTGGATAATTTTCAGTCTAAATGAGGAGCCAATAATCCCCCCTGCGTAAAGATGGAAGGGAAAACAAGACTTCGAAAGTATTGGCCATGTGCACAATGGAAGGCTAGAGAACCCTGAGGCCCACATGGATCTGAGGGCTCTTGGTTACTAGATGAGGGTTCATGCTGGGTTTTAGCCTGAGCCTAAGAGGGATTATGTCTACACAGATCTTAATAGACGTGTACATGGGTGAACAAACAGTGGTTATAAACAGATGTGTGACATGTTTCCCAAATCAGGGGGGCTGCTTCATGAACTACCATTATGAATTCTATTGTTAAAAATGCCTAGTCTTTCCAATATCATTTGTGCTGCTTGCGAATTCCAGAAATCCCCAAGTTAAGGGAATATATTAGGAAAAGGCTCTTGGACAAGAAGAGGAGACGGGTGACCAAGTATGTCACCGAAGCCTTCGGCCTGTTGCTCCTCACAGATACCTTCAACTCAGAGGAAAGCCTTCTGGTAAGGAAGATCCCTGTGCCGTCTCACATGCTGCCCGGGCAAGGGTAGGTTAGGAAGACCCCTCAGTTGTCTCACATTCCGCCTGGGTAGGAGTCGGAGTTAGCTCAGTGGTCAACTTGACACAGCTGGAAAGAGGAAATCTTAACTGTGGAAGTGCCTCTACCAGACTGCCCTGCTGGCATGTCTGGAGGGCCCCAGCCTATGATGGGCATTGCCACCCCTCTACAGGTGGGTCTGGGCTGTATAAGAAAGGTTGCTGTGTGAGCCAGAGAGAGCAAGCCAGGATGCTTGCTGATTCCTCCAGATCAGCCTTGAATTCCTGTCTTGGCTTCCCTCCATGATGGCCTGTAAGCTTTAGAATAAATAAACCTTTTCCTTCCCTATTTGGTCATGGTGTTTTTGACAGCAGAAAATGGAAAACTGGAACAGTAAGGCACTCCCCTTTGCCACACCAGGAAATTGACTTAGCATACTTTTTCTCTTTTCCTGTCAAGGTAAGCTAAAAAAACCTTTGGAGTGTAAGAGGAGAAAACAACAACAAAAGGGGTGAAAATCCTAACATTTAGGTAAAAGAGAAAGGATGAATGTTTTACCTGGACAGATGTAGTGAAAGGAAAAGGTGACAATGTTTGGATACTTGGCATTCCTCCTGAGACTCGAACAAGGTGGGGTGTATTTAAATGATGACTGAGCGACTTGGCTTATACACAATCTAGTGGGCTACAGACACTCTATTATCATCCTGGAGATGATGCTTCTGAAAGATGGTTTATCTGTCTATGGATTTCCTTTGTGTCCTGGTACATTGTGAGGTCCATGTTCTGAAGCCAGGAAAGGGAGGGGAGCTTTGAGAGGTTAAAGAGATCTCGAGGGCCCAAAGGCAGATAAGAAGTACTGATTCACTCCAGATGAAGGCTGCTAGGCAGGTACCCTGGCTCACAGACCGCGTGGAGATAAGCTGACTGACAAACACAGGCTGAAAAAGGCAAAGGTTTGAGCTTCTGACATTAAGGTCATACTCACACAGATTCCCACAAAAGAGGAATTATGCCCCCAAATAGTTACATAACAGATTATGTATCTTTCGGGGTCCCCAGACATCCAGGTTATCAGCCATTTTGTGCTGACTCTTAGGCCCCCTGGATGTCCATGTTTTAGCTGACTCATACAAGATACCCACGTCAGTGCCATGTTTGTGTAAACCTTAACTGTCCCCTAGGGGCGTCTTTCCCCAACTTGCTCTCAGGATCTCAGTCTGCATTAATTACTTTCCTTGTCCCTGTTACAAAATACCCAGCAGGGAAAAAAACAACAAAACAAAACAAAACAAAACACCCAAAAAACAAACTTAAGGCAGGAGATACAGTCTTACAGTCTGGATGGCGGTGAGCCACTTGAAGCTCAGCTTGCTCATATTTTGGCAGCCAAACAAGTCAACAGGGAGCTCTGGGTAGATGGGAGCCTGCCCTATAACTGTTAAATCCATCTCTGCTGAGCTAGGGTCCTGTGTGTGTCAGCAAGGCCCATGCCCAAAGGCTTCCACAGCCTCCCCAGACAGAGCCAGGTGAGGATGGGTGGTTCAAACGCACAGTCTGTGAGGGACATTTCGCACTGGAACAGAACAAGAGTTGTAGTAACACTGTGAAAGGAAGGGGGAGGGGGAGTAGGGGGTTCGGAACATTTATGTCCACAGCATAGAAGGCAGACCTTTCGAATGTCCGCTTAAAAGTTTTTTTGTCATAGAAATGGACAGGTTTCTCATGATTGATGACCCCTCCCCCCTGTACACACACACACACACACACACACACACACACACACACACACACACACTCACACACACACCAGAAGAAAGATAACTGCCAAAGAACAGACTTGGAGATGTAGGAAGAAAAATCAGCCCCTTTACTCAATGGCTAACTTTGTTGTTTCTTTCTAAGAGACAAAGTGTTCAGACTGTATATGAAAACAGAATCCAGACTCACATTCTACAGTAAGATATTCAGCAAACCAGCCCCGTACCTACCATACCCAGCCTAGGAAACCAATCTGCTGTCTCCAAGGCTGAAGACTTACAGGAGGTCAGACTGCTATCTCTAGTAATGATCTAAGAAATTGGACAACTTCTGTAACCAACAGCTCCAAGTGGCCAGACCTTGATGACTAGTTTCTCTAACCCTTAAGCAGCCAGAGAGAGCCAATTAAGAATCCCTAACTAACCATACAGCAGAGAATGGGGATCTCCCTTCAGCAGTAGTTCTGAGGACACAGCATTTGCTTTTCTTACTCGGTTGACCTTCTTCCACTTCCAGACTTGGGTTTGCCCGCCAGATCTACACACTCAACTAGTCTGACTTCTTACTGTTCTGGGAAAGGGAAAGGCTAAGAAGGCCCTTGGAAGAGATTCTGGGGCTAGTCCTGGCCTGAGGAAAGTAAGGCAGGGATGAGCCTGACAGGTGGCAAGATGGCAGAGACAGGAGACCCAAACTCAATATGAAAACAAGCAGGGCAGCAAGTTGGCCAGATGACTGATTTGAAAGACCCTATAAAGGGGGATCGGTCGATTGATCAATCGCAGCTGTGTTTGTTTCTTTCTTCGTCACATTTCTTTGTTTTGCTTTAGCTGCAGGAGAAAAACTCCCAGTATCAGAGATTTTCTTTTTTTTTTTTTCCTGATCTGAATATTGTCCTCTGAAATGGCTGGGGAAGGATTTGACCTTCCAATTTTCTGAGAAAGTTCTGTGGTGTGAAATCTGCCTTTTTGCCCAACACAAGATTGCTTTTGGAAGTGCCCATGGAAAATGAATCAAATGGAATGCTGTATGTGGGTGGTTTGTTTTACAAACACAAGGACAAGGTATTTTGAGATGTGTCCGTCCCTATTTGCTGTTCTTTGCCCACTCTGAGGTGAAGCCCCTGGTGGGGTTGGGGGACTCATCTTTGCCTCCAAAGCTAAGCCATACAAGACCTAGGAGGCAGAGGCTGAGGAGAATGTCACTGGGGGAGGTCTTAAAGAAATGGCAGCAACTTTCCTCAAAATTCTTTCGCCTCCAATATTGGTCTTATTTCTTTGATGGAAAGTTGGAAGACAAGAGTTCTGTCAGTGCCTTTGAATTCCTGAAAAAAAGAAATCAATCCTAAAATGTGTGTACTTCATCGTTTTTCCCCCCCAAGACTGTGTTTCTAACCAAAAGTTTAGATTTTTGGGGTGGCTAGTGATTTTAAGTGCAGTAATTATTTTTAGGATCATTAGGAAGTTGGTCATGACATTTCAACATCAATGAGCCCTAGGCTCATTCATACGAAGTCCCGCCCTCCCCTCTTACTGTTCTTCATGTCTTAACACTTTACAGCAGGGATTGTTCTGAGAAATGCATCACACCAACCTCCTTGTTGCTGTGTAAGCCTCGCAGCACTCTTTTCGTGAACACGCATGGATAGCTCCCCACACATCTAGCCCCAGCCGTTAGCAACCTGTTATGAGGTCACTGTTACCTCTGCAATCCATCGCTGCATAGAGCATCGTTGTAGAGTGCATGCCTGTGTGTGCTCTTCTTCCCCACTTTGCAGCCTCCTTCTGTGAAGATGGAGAGTGAGTTTATTTCTGTGATCTTGCAGCTTTGCATTTCAAAGTTTGGTGGAAGGAGGATCAGTTCCCTTGGAGGCTGAGTGGGGACGAGGACTCTTAGGCCTTCAGATTTTAAGACTGAAGGCACAGCGAAGTCTGAGAAACACTACCTTAAAAAGCTGCTTTTGTGTAAAGTCAAAGACCATCAAACGTTTGTCAACTCAGATGGCACTGAGAAAACTTTTAAAATATGTTTACATCTTGTATTAGTATGTATGAATCCTATATGCTAATGAGTTTCATGACAACATTTTAATATCTATGTATAATCTGTCATGGTCATATTCACTTCACTGTCTTTATCTTACTCCTGCTGGTGCCCTGGAAATTTTGTTCTCATAATCATTGAATTGTTATTTGGTAAAGATGAAAGATTTCTTCAATATTGAGGGAAACCAGAGTATAGACAATTATTCAGACTCACTTCCCAAATAGCCTGATGGATTTTACACCCCCATTGTTTTTTTGTTTCGTTTTTTTGGTGCTGTTTTTCATGCTAAGAAACTCCAGGAGGTCTATGCACTGAGGATGACTTCTGGGGACCACAAGGATAAATCTACTTTGGGTGACTTACAGGCGAAAGCTTGTGCTGGTGACAAGTTTCCATGGGAGCAGAGTTTAGGGAATCTGATGCTCCTTGTGACCTTGTCCCTAGACTGAACACCTGAACACGGGTGGCCTGCGGCGATTTGTGGAGGAGAAGATGGAACTGTTGGAGGAGGCCATTGAGCAGTGCTTTGCTCGCATGGAGCAGCCGCTGCAGACAGGGGTCCAGGTGGCCAGGACTGCCTGCCGCCGCATCCTCAGGGCATGCCTGGTGGTGAGTGGCCTTTCCCAGGGAAACTCCTGTTCTCTGCAGCAAGGTCAGCCTGATCTCCAAATGCCTCTTGCACTATCTCCTTGTTCGCACCCATAACCTTACCACCCTGAGGGATGGCTGTGGCTTTCAGGCTAGCTTGAGGTATGTCGTAAGTTCGCAACTAATCTGAGGGACTGCAGAGTGAACCCCTCTCTCAAAAACCCCAAATCAAAATCTACCAAGCAACCAAGCAAACAAAAGACAGTAAGAAAATTCTATGTAGGAAATCCTCTGCAAAGAGGAGTGTTCGCCTGTGGCTTGTTAAGTTTGCAGTCCAGCAGAGGCAGAGCTGGGCCTCAGGGTTTGAGTTTCTTAGTTTGAGAGTCAGTTCCAACAAACATCACTGCAAACCCCAGACAAGGCACAACCCATTCAGCATTTCAAGTCCATTTAGAGTTTTCTTGATTATCTCTTCTGTAGAATGGGGATGTTACATGTCTGGCCTAAATATCTCCTAAATTGATTCGATTTATCAGTTATCTTAGACAGAAGGAGTACCTTGCAGGCCCTTTACTTGACACAAATAGTTGTATATATCAATCAGTTGTTTTGGGTTTCTCAAAGATGGAGCCGTAAATACAGGTAGAATTCTGCAAGACTGGGGGATCTCTCATATTGCTCAGGCAGCCGTGACAGGGTATCACAGGCATAGGGGATAGCTTGAGCAACAGGCAGAGATCAGAAAGCTGGAAGTTCAGGATCACATGTTGGCAATGTTTGCTGAGGCCTCTTTCCTTGACCTGGAGACAGTGGCCTGCTCCTGGTGCTCTGTGTGTGTGTACATGTGCTGTACTCCTAGTGTCCCTCTCATAAGGACACCCATTCTCTTTAAAGGTGCCATCTCTACAGACAGTAATGTTGGGTATTAGAACTTTAACATGTAGGATTTGGAAAGGCCATGGTTCGGTCTATAACACCCATTAGCTTAAGGAGTGGTGGTGACCTACCCACATGTTAGGATAAGTCAGAAGACTCTAGTTCTGGGAGTGAGACTTGGGTAATATATCGTAGATGTTTTTAAAATGACTTTGACAATTGGGACACTGACCATGATGTGGCAAGGCTGTGATCCTCCTGTATGGAGAGCAGTGACATCTCCCACTGTGGTGAAAAGCCAGCTTACTCTGCCAGCTAGGACCCTTGGAAACATCCTTCAGCCTCATTTGGATGAGTGTAACACCAGCCACACCTGATTAACCCCAGAAAAAAGCCCTGGGTCAGAAGCAGCAACCAAACCATCCCCAAGTCCCCCTCCCAACTCTGAATCTGTGAGAGATGACAGGCGCTTAACTCTCATTTTAAGCCCTCTGTCTCACTACATTCAGGTACTGTGTTTCCTAGCAATAGTTTCTATTTCATGGTAGGACAAGCCAGATCATAAAGAGTGAATGACTGGGTAGTGGTAGAGGATAAAGCCATGAGGGAGAGGCACCTCTTTGAGACATCTCGCTTGTGACAAAGAAGGTTGTCAGTCATCCTTAGACCTCACCAACAGTCTGCCCCACTACTGCTCTCCCACCATCAGCTCTTCAGGGACTATAAGCATGCTCAAGGTACATGATAAACAACATCCTGATAAACAACATTCTTCTGTGGTCAGAAATTAGGACACACTTTTTTTTTTTTTTTTTTTTTTTTTTTTTTTTTTTACCATCACCATCTCTTATTTAACATGGTGAAACAACCTAAAGGTCTAAAGCTAAGAGAGTGGTAAAGTGAATTAGTCTGAATCTGTACGTATCACTTCATGCATTACTTTTCCTGTGGCTGTGAAGAAACTTGAGGGAGGAGAGGCTTGTTTGGGCTTGTAGTTTAGAGGACACCATGGCAAGGAAGGCCTGGGACTAGCACATCTCTTTTGATGGGAACTTGTAGCAAGGATTTTTCACGCCTTGAAGGATTAGGAATCAGAAGTAGATATCACTTTGGAGAACCGTCTCCAATACCCCGCTTCTGTTAGTCCTAGAGGTCGACACCCTGCTCAGACAATAGCACCAGCTGGAGGCCAACTATTTAACAAGTGAGCCTGTTGGGGATGTTACACATGCAAACCACGACACATGGTGATTAAAGTCACGTTTGGAAACTGGGCAATAGTGTCGCATGCCTTTCATCCCAGCACTCTGTGATTATGCAGGTGGATCTCTGTGAGTTGGAGGCCAGGCCTGGTCTGCAGAGCGAGTTCCAGAACAACCAGAACCCTATCTCGGAAAACAACAACAACAAAAATCACTTTTGGAATATATTTAGAAGGGAGGGAGGCAGAGAAAGAGAGATATTATACCATATAATATCATATCATACTGTGTAGCTATGCTCTTAAAATAAATCATTGTTTTAAAGCTCATGCTGTTCTCTACTGAACTTTTAGCAAACACATTTTTATTGTCCTTACTTGGTCAATATCTATATAAAATTGATTAATATTTCTTTAGTGCTAACCATAGCATAAATATTTCTCCCTCTCATTTCTGGACCTTTATTACCCTGGGGGAAATGCCAAAGATATACAAATCCACTTGTATTTTCATTAAATATTCAATAAAATTTATACTCTTCCTCGGGGATTTCAAGACATAGTCTTACTGTTAGTCTGCAGCTTTTCACTTATGCCGTAATTGCTCATTTAACAAATAGCTGATGGTCACCATTTGAGTCACTGTCTGCCAGATGTGGACATTTAGCATTGGTCTCCCCACCTCAGTTAACTTAATCTAGAGTTGGGCTAAGCATGCCTACAGTTTTGTGTCCTTAGTGGCTCTAGATTCTGTCATGTTGACGATCAGTGTTCATCATGACAGAGGCTTGTGATTGACACAAGCCTGACACCCTTTGGTTTGGAAACCGAAGCAGGGGCTCCCAGTCAATCTAGAGATGTAACCATGGTTGCTCAGTGGCTTAAGGGTGTGTTTAAAGACCGTGCTGTTTCTGTTTCCATCCCATGATTCTTAGCAATGGTCTTTGAGCAACACCAATGAGAACCTGACCCTAGGATTTTCAAGTTAATTCCCACTGGCTTGCTAACTCATTGTTTGATTGTCTAGAGGAGTAGAGGAAACCAAGGTTTTCACCAGACCCTAAAAGCTGTTTGCCTGAAGAATGGCGTCTATGCCTCCAGGACTCTGCCCAGAATCGACCTGAATGAAGCCCTGTCGCAGCCTATCTATGACCAGATCGACCCTGTGTTTGGAGGCATTTTTAGGTAAAGAACCTTTCATCTTGCTCTTTCAAAAATACACATCTGTGGGACAGCAAGCTAGAGCCTCAGATTTAAGGAATTTATTTTCTTGGCCCTGGAAGTGTAAAGAGTAGCTGGTTATTTGAGATGGAAAGCTTAGCTTTTGGCAAAACACAAAAGCCATCTTGGTTTGGTTTACTTAAAAATTTCCCATGGTGACCTGGAGTGCATATGGAGATGTTTCTGTCAGACTAATACTATGATTGCCATTATTTTTCAAATCTCTCCTATGTGCGGCAGGGGATTCATTTTCTTAGGGATCTGAGCCCTGGGACGGGGTGTTTGGATTGGAGAGTGTGGAATAAAGTGAGCACAAAGCCTTCAGTACTTTCCCTGAGTGTGAAAAAAAAATGTGGTCCAAGGAGGAAGCTGTGTGCTTTTGGCACATGCATGCTCAATGTCCAGGAACATGAGTTGTGGGCAGTGTCCGTTCCCCATGCCCATTCATTCCCTGAACTGCAACTCGTCCCTCCATCAACAGAAAGAGGTTCTCCAGATTCCCAGTACAGCAGCCTGTCTCCAGGTATCCTTTCTCTGTCCCCATGGTTCTTTAAACTTTCGGTCATCCCATCCCATCCCCTACCCCACCCTGTTAGATAGAACAGCATCTGGCACAACCTGCCTCTTCTGTGCCAATAGGCATTTGTCTGCATTGTCAAAATGATTCCTGAACTCTACAGAGTGGCTTTGGTCCTTTACACATGAGCAAGCAAACCATGAAGAACTGTGGGACTTTTCCAGTGTCACCAGATCATGAAAAAATACCTCCAGGATTCCAAGCCCACGCTTTCTTCTCTGCAGCCTGCTGCTTCTTCCTTCTCAGATATTCTGAGGGGGACAACTTCCCCTTTTCACATTCTTATATCTCACCCACCTTTGAAGGCTCAAGTCCCACCCTTTCTAATGAAAGTGCTGGCAATCGACAGACAGTGAGTTTTGAGGTGAGCCTGCCTCCACCTCTTACTGGCTTGTGTGACCTCGGGAATGTCAACCATCCCCTCTGCACCCCAGTTTCCTCATCTGTAAAATAGGCACCATCACACTGACTACATAGGCCTAGAACAGCCCAGTGTCTGGCACACTCTGGGGATCTGATGACTGTTGCCTTTCATTGTTTTTTCTCTTTAATATAATAGAAGAAACCCCGCTTGTTTCATGCCTGTCTTGTCCCTGCAGTCACTACCATGGTGACTGAACTTGCTGCGCTGCTTTCTTCCATAGGGAGGGAAAGCCTGCAGGCTCTGCTCTGATGCAGCACATAGATGCTTTCAAACATTCCCTGGAGGAGAGAATGGAAGAGACTGGGATTGTAAATGGCTGGAAGTACGATGGATACAAGAGAAGCTTCCTGATCCAGGAGGTATGTTCCTCAAAGGGGGTGGAGAAGATGAGCCACAGCAGGTTGGGATGAGAGGGGAGGTCCTAAGACCACCATGGAGCACAGCACAGGACACCAAGGCCAGCTTTGTTCCATGCAGAAGCAATTAGTAGAAGCAGCTGAGGTGGTGAAGTTGGCCCAGAGCCTGACTAGTCACAGAGTATGTAAATAAATAAAAAATGTGCATCCCATAATAAGGTTGTCATTTACCTCGCCACCATTTCTTCTAATTTTACAAAGGAGCCAAAGAAACAAAGCTTAAATAAGTCAGCCATTATCATCTTTATCATACCATCTTCATCACCATCATCATATCGTTGTTTCTATTCTTTTAAGTCATTTGCTGGTGTTGATGACTCCCAGCCCTTGTCTGTGACTCACTTTCCTCCAGGCCCAACTCAAATCACATGGCAATGCTAGGAATTAGGCTGGTGTCCCCAACCTCTCAAAGACCCTTCCTGGGTCTGCCCTCTACTTTAGGACACACTTACTGGGTGGTTTGTAGGGTCTAGGTACTGTGAGGCTCCTTTAGGGAATAGTGATCTTCTGGATAGAGTTCTTGTCCTCAGGGAGCTGGCAGATGAGCTGTAGAGACAACATGTGGGCAGCTTTATTGGTTACTTTTCCCAGTCAAATCCCGGCAAAAGCAAAAGGAAGGAAGGGTTTATCTAGGCCCACAGTTTGAGGGCACAGTCCACCCTGAGGGAAGCCATGGCAGCAGCTGCTCACACTGCATCCGCATTCAGGAAGCAGTGAGTGATGGACATGGGCGCCAACCCTGATTTCTTCTTTTGGTGCAGTCTGGGACTCCACTCAGTGGAGTGGTGCTGTCTGTATTTAATACATAATTTCATATAGACCAGCTACCCTAATCCCACACAGAGGCTCGTTTTGTTTCCTTGGTTATCCTAGATTCTGTCAAGTTGACAGTGTTTGTCACCGCAACAGCCAGTCCTGACACCAGGCAGGGGGATGGGAAGGCAGGCACACAGGCACACCTGAGTGCCTCTGTCAGAGGAACCGTCCCAAATGGCCTCGTGTTAACGTACTTTCTCAGATAAGTGCCATCCTGGGAGGCCTGGAGGGCCACATCCTCCGAAGGAAGAGGAAGATCTATGAGTCCATCACCAGCTCCATCCAAAGCGACCTGAAGCCCTGCTATGAAGGTGGCCCCCGGGGAGGCACTTCTTCTTCCTGGTTTTCTGGGATCCTCCTATTTCCCATTAGCTTCCTGCTCTGCTGGCTTCTTTATAGGAATCCATCTCTTCAACCTTAGTTCTGGTAACACTATCAAGGGCCCCCTTTATCTACATGTGGCCTGAGCCCCTAGGCTATAGCTTAAGATGCAGTTTTCACTTGGGCCTCCTTTAAATGCTCGTGGATCAACTCCTAGGCCCCCGAGTTTGCCTTAGGGAATGATTTTTTTCATTGGGTTTTCTGAATGATAATGAATCTAAATCTTGGGTGTTTTTCCCATAATATTCACATAAATATGTGTACATGTGTTCTTCTGCATTCTTGCTTGCATGTCTGTTTTTTTCTGATTATGTTACCTATTTCTCAGTAAGTCCTTGCTGTTATGTGACTGTAGCCCCCCCCCTTTTTTTTTGGTCAGAGGCTGCTCAGATCACTGGCAAAAAAGCATGCGAGAGGATGAAGGATGTCATCAGAAGAGGGGTGGAGCGGCAGGTGGCCGAAGGCATGTTTGAGAGGGCTCAAGAGAGGATGTGGCACCAGTTTCAACAATTGAAGGTACTTTACATCTGTCGGGGGAGGGCCAGCCCAGCTGGGACAGGAGAGATAGCAGACACCTGGGCCAAGAACAGCTGGGCACCTTCTGTACTGGGCCTATGACTTTAGAAACTCAACCCCTCCAGCTCTTTTCCTGTGCCGTTAGTTCCTCTCTACAAAGCCATCTGTAGGGCAGGGGCTCCAGTCTTTGTGTGCCTTCGTTCACTGAATCCTCAGTGAATCCCCAAGTGAGGTGGGTTCCATTGCTGTGTCCTTTCTATGCAGAAACAAAGCCAGGCAGAAGAGACGAGTACCGAGAGGCAGAGCTAGATAAAGTTGTGGTGTCAGTATCTCCAACAGTAGCATAATCTGAAGCCATATTTTTTTTTTTTAAATAAAGAAGATGGCTCAGCTCCACACAGTTTTGGTTAGGTAAATGGCAGACTATGACCATAGATGAGTGGGTGGTAGGACCTGGCACAGGTTAAGGTTTGAGTCCATCTGTTTCTGAGATGGTTTCTAAGAGTCCCTTTGGACCAAAGTATCCTGTAGACAATTTTTGTCTTGGTTCTAGGTCTCTTAGCTTGTTACCTTCTCCCTCCCAAGTAATAGAAAACCTTCACCTTCATCTCATTAGCCCCTGTCTGGACGTATGAGGCTCCCAAGTTTTCTGTCAAGGTTCAGGCTTGGCTGACCTCTGTCCCACCCATCCAGCAGAGGAAGATAGCTAGGGGCAGCATCAGGCCAGCTCTGCACTAACCTCCCTGCTTCTTCCTGACTCCACCCACTTCAGTTTTAGAAACTCCAGTCTGTTGTGTAAATCGGCGAGCTTTTCATGGGCTCGGTAAGAGCTATCTTGCTTATTAGCAGCTATTTGATTCCACGCAGTTAACATGCTATCACCGTCTAGAAATACATGTGGGAAACTGACAAGGCTCCATAGAGCCAGTCTCCACTGAGTATGTAGGAATTGGATCATTGAGATGCTCAGTGAAACAGTGCCCCTGAAAGGGACTAATACACTGACCATGTGCACATGTAACTTAGAAATGTGGATAGATAAAAATGCATAAGATCATCACGTGCTCTCATCCCTGATCTTTTCCCAAATCAAGACTATTAGTCACTTTTAATTATTTAAGTATTATTGTTCTACATAATGAATGATATAAAAGGCACTTTCATTTTCCTGAAAGAATTGTCGTCTTGGAGGCTTATTGCCTCTGTCTGCTAAGCTAGGCCTAGTCCTGGAAAATTCTAGCCTCCATACAATCTAATAGAATGTTTTCAGCCTCCTAGACTTATTGTTTAATAAGCTCACCTTTTCTTGTCCTTACTGAGCTCTGGGTTGGCTGGTTCAACTCAGTTCAAACTCCGCTTCCAGCTGACTTATTCAATCAGGCTTTTCTTGGCCCCTGAATTGCTGAATTGCTTCAAACTATCTCCAGCAATCTGTTCTACTCTCCTGGATCCTTCTCATTCTCTGGCTTGTTCTGCCTTCACCTGTGTTTACCTTGCTTTCTCATTCAACCTCTCTCTGTAAAACTCTGCCCATAAAACTGCCTTCTCTCTCTCTCTCTCTCTCTTTCTCTCTCTCTCTCTCTCTTTCTCTCTCTCTCTCTTCATTACCCATTAAGTAGCTTCCCTTTCCTCTCTCTTCTCAAAAGAGTTGGGCATATCTTATTCTGTCAGCTTTCTCTGATTAGTCACCTTTTATGCCTCTCAATTAAGCATCACTTTGAAACATGAGTGCTTCCTTCTACAAAATAACTTTACTTTCATTGTTTGGGATTAAAGGCATGTACACCTGGACCTAAGCTTTTCTTTACCTGATACTTGTTCTATACCAGTTCTTACAAACTGAAGAACAGAGTACGAGTTTACTGAGAGTATTTGTATTGATAATCTGCTAAACTGATCAACTGATAATCTGATAAACTGATCAGTACAGCTTGCTCATTTTTCTTCAGCCTGGGGTGAGGTAACTGCAGCTGGTTTTAGGAGACACAGCTCTCCCACTCCCTGATCTTATAGACAAGGATGCTGAGGCCCAGTGAGCTTAATTGACCAGCTCAAGCTAGAAGCCTTGTTCTGGCACTGAGGAAGAAGTATAAGGTTAGGGAGTGAGGAGATCTGGGTTCAAAACTAGAGACCACCAGGCTGCAGAAAAGAGTCTTGGTGTTTGCCACAGGAGTCAGGAAACAGAAGAGGGAGTGAAATGGTTTTAGGTGTTCAAAGGGTTGAGAAAAGCCAGGAGACATTTCTCAGGCATGTGAGTCAGTCCTGCCAAACAAGGTATGCTGCATGGGGCAATGCCAATAGATAGCCAACCAGGGCTCATGCAGGAGAGGACTGTGGGTAATGATGGTTCGTCTCTTCTTAGCTTTAGAGTCAGTTGGCTATCCATCGAAGGTAGCCTGCCATGCATGCCCACAGGCAGGGGAAGAGATGCAGAGGCAGGTGGGAGCCAGCGGGAATGCTGTCCTGCTGCCCTGCTGATAACTGCACTGGGGTCATCAGCACACTCCCAGTCCTTTATCCTTGAAGACTTTAACCTTGGGCAAGCCCATTCTGGGTCATCTCCAGCTGGGGGATGGAGTGCTCATTTTATATAACTCGCTTTCCCTTAGGCCGTTTCATTCTAACCGGCCTGATGTTCTTGTCACACAGCATGGAATCACTGAGAAAGTCAAGGGCAGCATCATGACCATGTTGATGCTGGCTGCACCCCAGGGAGATGGTCTCTACAAGGAGCTTGCAGGTAAATAGTAAAACTTTTACATGAAGGGCAATTGCAGAGTAACCCCTGGTTGAACTGAAAGCTATCAAAGTGGGCCTGGAGAAACAGTTCAGTAGTTAAGAGCACTGGCTGCTTTACAACCACATGGTGACTCACAGCCATCTGTATCTTCAGTCCCAGGAGGTCTGGTGTCCTCTTCTGACCCACGTGAGTGCCGCACACGCATGATGCAGGCAAAACACACATATACATAAAAATAAATAATAAAAATTAATCCGAGGTGCGGATTTCTAGAGCAAGTTATGCAGATGGTGAACGTAACCGTCGCACTCTACTGAGCACCCAGCAGAGACAAGTACTTCGACATGGTGCGGCTCCATCTTGGGTAATTTTCCAGAGTCCTCAGAGATCCTAGCCGCCGCTCCGTCTTTCAGATGCAGAAAAGGAGGCTCAGCCCAGGTCGTGCGAACTCCCAGGTTTCCATAATTGGCAACTGTAAACAGCAACCCACAAGCTCCCCCGCTGTCTCCATAAGCCTTTCTTCCAAGTTCCTGCCTCCTTAGAAAAGATTCCATCTCCTGGTGACGGAGGAAAAAAAGATCCTCTTGATTACCAGGACCTTGGGAATATGGCTCTAACTCCCTTTCCTGCCCAGAGCTGCGTTGAGCTACCTTGAAACTGGAGAGGGTGACCAAGCGGGGGGGGGGGGGGGGGGGGAGATAATAAAAAAAATTCTAGCAAAAATTTACCTGCTCAGCATCTCAGGAATCATATGATGCCCTCTCAGGTATCATATGTACAGACATGGTTAGGAGAGCACAATCAATTACAGTATCGTGGGGCAAGACCGCACAGGCTTCTGTGAACACAGCCCAGGTTATGGTAGGCACGTGGTTAGCAGGTGAGGGAGCAACTGCTGAAAGCAATGGAGCATCATAGCCCAGGACACAGAAGCGTGAAGCAATCTCCAGCATGTGCTGGAAAGAAGGAAGCAACACAGGAAAGCATGCGTGGCTTATAGCCAGCCATTTGTGAAAGAGGTCTCCCATGGGGACTTGAGTTTTACCTAGTCAGTGTATCATTCCTGCTGAAGGTCTTCCAACTGTCCAGGCCTTGCAGATAGAGGGCATTGCCCCAAGTTTTATCTAAGTTCTATCTGCCTGGAGGAAGCAGATCCCTGGGGTTCTTAATCACCTCCTGGTCATGGGTTTCATAGCAGGGAAGGTTCGGGCCGGTTCATCCAGACCACCATGTGGGACATGGTGAGCTAACGATGGCTGGAGCAAGACCCAGGGTAAATCTGAAGTGCCTGCCTCGAATACTATGTTGGTCAGAGTTCTCCAGAAGAACAGAACACAGAGATGTAGCTATGGAAAGGGCTGTGTATGGGGAACTGGTCCACTCCGTGGTGGAAGTCATGTGTATCACTGATGGAGGAGGATGCAGGCTGGCTACTCTGGAGAGAGCTTCAATGGCGGTCCATGGGTGGTCTCTGCAGAACCACGGGCTGATGGCTCATGCAAAGACCAGGGATCCAGAGAATTCCTTCTTATTCGGAGGGAAGGCAGCCTCAGCTGGTAGCATGCCACATTAAGGGAAGATGGTGGTTTCACTCGAGGTTTGCCAGTTTTAAAGCAGCTCAAAGACGCATTCAGACAAAGTTTGACAAATGTCTATACATCGTGGCCTGAACAAGTTGCCATAAAATTACCCATCATAGCTGAGTGTGATGGCACATGCCGGTGATGCCCGCACTGGGGAGGCTGAGGCTGGAGAATTGCCTGGACTTCTATTGTGATACCCTATCTTAAAAAAAAAAAAAAAAAAAAAAAAAAAAAAAAAAGTTAAAACATACAAATATCTAACTAAACAAATCAAAACTAAAACAAAGCTAAAAAAAAAAAAGTATAAAACAAACACCAAATTAGCCACAGTGAGGATGCAATCAAAATGCAGATTGGAAAATGAAAACTTGGGATGCTAAAAGAGAGCAAAGCAAGTTCATTGAAAAATGGAGGTTGGATAAGGACAGGGAGTCTGGGGACAGAGATCTGCCTGGAAGTGATGTGGGCAGATCCTATGGTTTGCTATGCTTTGGATCTTCTCACATGGGCTCTGAGGAGGCCTGAGAAGACTGTGAAGGTTCCAGGGCCTTTCTTTTAAAGATTTATTTGGTGTGTGTATGTGCGTGTTTGTGTGTGTGTGTGTGTGTGTGTGTGTGTTTGTGTTTGTGTTTGTGTGTGTGCTCGAGCACGCGTGCGCTTGAGTGCGCTTAGTTCAGTAAGCCATTTTAATCACTGAGCAAGAACAGTAAGCCATTTTAATCACTGAGCTCTCCAGCTTCCCAGGACTTTTTAAAGGGTATCCTCCCTTTAAGGGTTATCTTCCACCATACATGCTGAGATAAGTTTTCAGGTAACAAAGAGACTCCTTGGCTCCATGGGGTTATTTGTAAAACAAGGAGATAGGATCATCTAGATCTTCTATTTTGTAAGTGACAGGGTTGCTGAGGGCTTCATCTTGAGGGACCGTTCCTGGGAAGACATTGACTATGCATGTGTATCTGCCTCTCTATAGATGTCAGGAGTGAACAGAAGGAGATGGAAAAGCTCCACAGAAGCCTGAGGGAGGTGGCTGAGAACGCGCAGCTGCGGAGGGGCATGCAAGATTTCCTCCTTCGAATGTCTCCCAGCAAAGGAGCCCCCCCTGGAGCAAAACTTTAGTTTGGTGGTCTTAGGTCTGAAAATAGGCCTGAATCCAGATAGGCAGAATTATTGCTATTCTCTTTGAAACAGAATTAAAACAAACCAAACCAAACAAACGTTTCTCATCATTTGGACTTTCTACATAACATAAAATCACCACATCACTATTTCTGGTATAATTTTTGAATGTCAAGTGGAAAGTTACACAATTCAGCCTCAGGCACCAGGCTCTATTTCCCACTTTAATGGTGAGACTTCTGAGGAAGAGGCAATGTTGTCCTGAGGAAATAAACCTGAGACCAGGTTAGTTACTTTCCTGTGGCTGTGATAAAATATGGTAGAAAAGCAACTCAAGGGAGAGAGGGTTTATGTTGGCTGAGTTCAAAGGTCCTGTCTATCATGGCAGGGGGCACATGGCCAGGGGTGTGAGGCACTGCTCACATGGCCCACAATCAAAAAGCAGCAAGATGCATACTGGTGCTCAGTTATTTGGACAGAAGTCCGTTGGACCCCTATGTGTGCTCTAATCTTTTTGGTTGGTATTTTAACAAAAATTCTACTTCACACCCACAGATACATAGAAATCTGTTTTTTGTTTGCTTGTTTTTGTTTTGTTTTGATTTTTGATTTTTTGAGACAGTTCCTCCGTGCAGCTCTGGCTGTCCAGCTTTGTAGACCAGGCTGGCCTCAAACTTACAGAGATCCGCCTGCCTCTGTTTCCTGAGTGCTAGGATAAAAGGCGTGCTCCACCATTGCTAGGCTTAAGGAAGTGTTTTTAATAGCCATTTTAACTTGTCAGTGGGTTATTTCTTTGATTCTACAACCTTGAAGAATGTAGTTTATTTTCAAAAACTTATTTTTTTACTTCAAGAGCAGCCAATGCTCTTAACCACTGAGCCATTTTCCCAAAATCCAGGAATGGTAATACTTTCTTAAAGGTTGGTTGAAGTGTCAGAACTGAAACCAAATCAGTGAACTTTGTTTTCAAAAGCTGTTACAGTACAGACTATTAGATAAGTTTAAAAATTTTGTTGTCTACAAGAAATCCACTTTAAAGATGTAAATAAGTTAAAAGTAAAAAGACCATTATTTTGTTTTACACTTAAAAAATAAATAAAAAGCAGGCCCTCTTCCTTTTCTCTTTTCCTGCCTCAGCTTCTAAGTTCTAGAACTACGTCCGGCACATCTGGATTATCTCATACTGGGAATGCATTTTTAAAAACCAGCACATGACTTTATAGTATAAGGCACTCTGAAAATACTTGTTCAGGTTAAGCGGATGTTCTAAGATGGCACCTTTCATCATACAATATCACAAAGTCCTATTTCTTAACACCTTCACCAGTGTCACCAGGGAAGTCTTGAAATAGTGGGAAGCTGGGAAGCTCACAGCAGTGAGCACAAGTTTAATATAGTTTTTGTTTTCTCCTAAAGGTGTATCTCCTTATTGGCCACAGATACTGATAGCTGTTTGAAGTAAAGGGTCCATTTTCAGGAGGGTGTCCACTGTATAATCAAATATGGTCAATAAATTTCAAGTAGAAATGGACTTCATGAACACTGTGTCAAATTCAGTTCGTAGCTCAGTCCCACAAAGTGCTTTTCTCTGGAGTGGCAGAAGGGCTTCAAGCGTGTTCCCATTTTGCTACTCAGAGTAATAAAGGGCATCTGTGTAAGGGTCAGTGATCTGTAGAATTAATAAGTCATTCCATTACATTAAAATATTTTTAAACGTTTTTTAAGATTGTAAGGTTATGTTGGTGAAAGATACATCAATATGAGTATAGTTTGGGGTCACCATCTCAAGTGTAGCTTGGGGCCATTACCCTTGGTATAGGCAGTTCTACCCTCTTTTTCCTGGACACCTTTGGTGAAGGTGTTGGTCTGAAAAAAAAAAGAAAGGACAAATGATTCCCCTTTGATCCTCTGATTTTACTTCTACATGTTGCAAGCTCAGTCGTATAATATTATATACAGTGACATTATACCACATTTATATAGTATTACTTGAAGGCATAGTATGATAAAGTTTATATAGTATATAAACCTTAAAGCAACCATGAGGAAAAAGAGAGCAATATAGCTAGTAAGCTTTTAAGGGAAATAAAACAGAAATTTTAAGATGTTCAAATAACACAGCAAATGTGGGAATATAGAGAAAGGACAAAGGTCATGAATAAAAAACAAATACCCAAATGGTAGAATTAAAACCTAACTATGTAGATAAGCACATTAAATGTAAATGGCCTAGAACATCTATTTAAAGACAGAGACTATTAGATAGGTTTAAAAATTATGGTGTATACAAGAAATCCACTTTAAAGATGTAAATAAGTTAAAAGTAAAAATATCAAGATTTTTTTTTCCTTTTAGGTTGCAAGTTCATGGTAATAAAAGGCATAGCAATATGAGATTATCCTGGAGTCACTGTTTTGAATGTGACTTGGGGCCACTTTTGTGGTTACTATTAAGGTTGCTATTAACATCAAACCAATGAATTTAAGAACAAGGGATATTATTAAAAATAAAAATGTTTATTGCATAGTGATGAAGTGGATGACCTGTCAAGAGGACATAAAAAAGTCATAGCTATGTAGCTAATAAATCTTCAAAATACAGAAAGCAAAACTTACTAGAATTAAAGGGAGAAATGGCCAGACCCACAATTACAGTTGGAAATGTCAGCACCCTCTCTTGATAACTGGCAGAACAAGCAGAGAAACCCAGCAAGACCATGGAAGGCTTGAACGACTTGACACCCAGCTTTGCTCAAGTAAGACTTACAAGATATCCTGTTCCATATTAAAGCACACACCCACTTCCAGTAGACATGAAACGGGGACAAGATGGACCATACTGGAGCCATAATACAAATCTCTGTAAATGAATGGGAGGAATGCAGAGTAGATTCTTTGACCACAAAAAAAAAAAAAAAAAAAAAAAAAAAAAAAAATAGAAATCAATAACAGGAATCTGAAAAAAGCTCCAAATGTTTTAGAAATTTATTAACTTACTTTTCAGTAATCCACAGGCCAAGTGAAGCTCGTGGACTAATTTTAGATCTATTTCTCTCTTCTCCAAACCTTAGCTCTACCTAATTAAAATGACCTCATAGTATCAGAAGACAAAGGGTTAACTCTGGCCCAAGCTTTCAAATTACAGGTGGCACTGGCATGGGGCTGTTTGTTAAACACTTGAAAAATACGACAAGGAGCTATTAGTCATGATGTAGTACCCACTGGCAGAGTGGAACAAACAGTAGGAAACAGGAAGAGTCCCGTCTAGAAGCTACTGACAGAAATCTAAGAGAGAATTTCACACTGATGTGACAAAAAAAGGAACACTAAAAAAAAAACAAAACAAAACAAACATGGATCAAGAAGATTCAGAAATAGGGACAGGGGAATCAGGATAAGGGTGGGTGTTTTAGAAGGTTAATATCGTGTTTCTTAGCCTAAAACCTTCTCAGGTAGGGGAACCCACCTGGGAAAAGGAGGGTGCAAGACTGGGGTCCAAAAATAATCTCATTTTGAGAGATCAGAAGATGGATCAGTGAGATGGGCAGAGGTAAGCCAGAGAAAACAATGCTTTTGCAGGGTGTCTGTGATGTGTGTATACTCAAATCACATTTATGGATGGCAGGGAATGAGGGAGTGTGGGGAGCAGCTGAGCTATAGCCTCTTCCTGCAAAGCCATAGCTCTGGAGAAAAGTCATAGCTCTGGAAAGCTGAGGCAAACCTTTGGCCCCAGCACTTCGGAGTTCACATCCAAAGCCTCTTGTCACCTGTCTCTACTAAGGTCCTGTTATCGGTGTCAAGAGGAGGAGGAGGAGTGAAGAGGTTGTGCCTGTGATTAGACAAGGGTCAAAACAAGCGTTTGCATTGGTACGGGAGTGAGAATGATGGTTTGAGTTCACACCTCTCACCATCCATCCATTTCAAGAAGGTGCCCACCACATCCATCTACCTGAAAGGGTGAGCTCTTGCTTTGAAGAGTGGTACACATAAGTCAGTTTCTGTCTGTCTGTCTCACCATAAAGCATCGTAAATCCTTTCTACACTGTGGGCAACTTGAGTTGTTTTAGACACAAAAGCACACAGGAGTTCTTTATCAATTACTCTTGGGGATGGTGACGTTATCCACTGTTGTGGTTTAGATGTAAAGTGTCCCTCACAGGCACATGTAATTGAATACCTGGTACCAGCTAAGTTGTTTGGGGGAGGTTATGAAACTTTTGAGAGGTCGGGGGCTTGGATTATTGGGGACAGGGCAGGGCCTTGGGGACCTGACCCTGCTTCTGGTTGAGTTTTCTCGGCTCCTTGTTTTTTCAAGATGTAAATAGGCAGCTGTCACCAAGTCTGGCCACCACAGAGTCATCTGCCATACTCTCTCGATATGATGAACTGGACCCTCTAAAACCATGAGACAAAATAAAACTCTTCTCCCTTAATCGCTTCTTGTGAGTTACTTGGTCACAGAGAAGAGAAAAAATAACCAATTCAACAACCTTTAACTGCTCATTTACATTGTCAGGGAGTCCTCTTTGAGGGCAGGTCTGGGCAGGACAAGATGTGGCCTTGCTGCTGGTCTGCGGTCTCCACCCAGGGTCTCTGGGTAATGTGATGGTTAGTAATGTTGACTGTCAATTCTACAGAATCTAGAGTCATGCAGGAGAAAACCTGTGTCCTTGAAGGAGTTCTTAGAGTGGGCTAACTGAAGAAGGAAGAGCAATCATAAATGTGGGTATCACCATTCAGTGGCCTGAGGTTCTGGACTGAGCAAGGAGGAGAAGGGAGCTGAGCATCAGCTTTCATCTCTCTGCTTCCTGACTGTGGACACCATGTGACCAGCTGACTCCTTTCGAGCTGACTCCCCACTTTTGTGGACTGTACCCTAGAAACTTGAGCCAAAAGAAACCTTCTGTTAGTTATTTGATCACAACAATAAAAACAACTAATCTGGGTAGCAAAGGGAAGGGGATGGTCAGGAGTTCCAGCTTCCTGCCTCTGCCTGGTCTCCTGCACAAATTACCTCTTTCGGCTACAGCCTCATACT